GGAATCATCTTTAGTACGCCATAGCATATTTAACAAATTTGATTTCTTCCAAACAATGCAATGCATGTGAAAGTAAAAAAAAAGAGAGGAGAGAGAACAGCACCTTGACAGGATGCCGGCTTCAGTAAGTGAGGAAGAGGAGGATTTACCTTCATGTACAATATAGCCATTTCCGTTTGAGAAATAAGAATGCAAGTAGTATACATGTCAGGACTCAGCTGACGTCAACGGGAGCTTATTCAACGTAATACATCTGGAAATAGATTAAAAGGAGATTGTGTGTTTATGAACATAAAATCAAAAATATTTAGCTGCCTTGTCAAAGCGGGAAACAATGTTATTACGCAGCGAAACAGTAGCATCTCAAGCACATTCACTCTGTCTAAATGGTAACTCTGCTATTAAAGTCAATGGATCTATTCAAGGAGGTTTCAATGTTGAGTAAATGCAATTTCTGCAGTAATTTCACAAAGGGGAAGTGATTAAAATGGGTGTGAATTTAACACCTGATTTTGCTAATGGGATAATTCTAATATCTTTCCAAGTGTCAGGTACAACATTTCTAGAAAAAGAAGAAGAAGAAGCGTTGATGATCACATGAAATATCCGCACAACTTCTGAGGACATCAGTGTTAACAGAAACAGGATAACAAAATGTTCTCACACAACTGAAAGTTGACCTGAAATACTTCAGGTTTCATTCCCAGAGGTTCGAGATCTTGAGAAATGTCTTCATAATAGATAGACACATAAGATTACTCGAAATCATCATCAATCGTTTGAAACCGAAAAATGTGTCTTCATCTTGCCTTTAAAATTAGCCGACTTGACATGAGAAAGCAATCAGTAAACAGTAAAATTGTGCAAGGTACAAGTTTTACAGTTAGTGAAGTGCTATTCACTGAATACTCGATCACGTCCTACATATTTACGGAATTTCTGCAGTTTCAGGAGGGAGCAAATTCCACAGAACTGCACAGAGAATTAATCTAGTGGGTGAAGTCAAGGAATATAAGAGTAGAAACATGGTGTATATCACACGCTCACAAGCGCTTTTCCCATTGAAATGCGATTGGAAGAATTAAACTGCACAGTACGTAGTAATTTCTACGGGTCGAATAGATATTCACGAGGTGTGATATTTCAGTGCCGCATCAAGCAGACGACAGTCAAGCAATCGAGTAGAGAAATAAAATAGGATCTGCTGTCAAAGTTTCATTATATCGGAAACACAATCTAATGAAATAAAATTCTTTTCTCAGCTCTTGACGACGCTCCACATGGTTGTAGATGAGACGTGTTCAGATGACTTTCTTTTCCAGAGTCACGATTAATCGACTGATTCTTCTCTTCTTTATTTGACTATGGACTCAATGATGTATCTAATGACCGTTAAATACTTCTGATTATAGAACGAAGAGATAAGACTCCAAGGAAACTCCATGGAAATTCAGTCACGGTGGTGACGAATGGAAAATACGAATAATACATCAGTGGAAAATTTCATGATAGAAAGATCAAAATCGGTGGTGACTGATTTCTCGCTTTCAAGATGCGTCTGTTACATCGACAAAGGAAAGGTGGAAAGGCACATTTGGATGCATACGAAATCTGAATGCAGAGGTATCAGCTCCAATAGGACAAAAACACGCTTTCTTCCAAATCTTCTTGCAACATGTTCAGAGTAGTGATTCTGGTGACTTATTCAGAATCACTCCACTAATTGACCAAAACAGAATGGGAAAGCGAACGAAAACTATAGAAACTAATCACCATTGTAGAACGTAACAACTGAATCAGGGAACACCACTTCGGAATGCAATATGCAGACATAGATATGCGTATGGCAATGATTATTTCGACTGTATTCCACACCGAATAGCTCCTAATATGAATCACAATTCCAGACACCATAAAGCAAGCTTCACAAACAAAAAAACCAGAGTAATAGAGCGATCCAGCTTATACCACTGAATAAGCTAATATCACTAGTGATTTCGTGGTTTCGCTTTCAAGTTAAGTGAAACATGTGCAATTTGTCTTGAAAAGTGCTCAGAGTAATATATTTATCGGCTAATTCACAGGATGTACCACGACAACAGAAATCGTTCCATAATTAATATTGCGGAAATAGACAAACACATATTGGAATCGCTGAAATTCTCATATTAGATTGCTCATTAGATGTCTCACACAGTGAAACAGTATTCTTCACTGGATGACAAAGTTTCGAAAAACCTTATTGTTCATAATCATAACAGAGATTGATGTCACCCAAAATCTCATTAGGAAAAACATCACACATTTTGCGGAATGGAAACGACGCAGAAAAACGCAGTTGCAAATAGAAAAGCCTAATTAGGGTGAACAGTAAAGATATACGAAGGATAATGTCTGCCATCCACAAGTACACAAATCTCACAATTATAAAACATGCATATACTGAGCTACGATAACGAAATATATTATAAGCATTAGCAGCAATTCATTGCAAGGCGAGCAGTGCTTCCAGTCATCAAATACCACACAAACACAATTCCAAATCAGAGAGAAAACAAACACAAATCTGACTGAAATTTATTGACAGAATTCACAAAACATACAACAACACAACACATGTACTAGTTCTCAGTATTCTGCTCCTCCTATTCCTTCTTCGAATCCTTCTTCGCTTCAGCCTTCTTACCACTCTTCTTCAAATCAGGAAAGTCACAAACTCTGGAAAAATGGAAGACAGGTTTCATTAGATCTAAAAATACACAAATTTGAGCACATTGAGAGATAAATTGATTCATAAATGAAATGAAAAACACAGAGTGGTCTACACAACAGATTACGGAGTATACGCACTCATGAGCTATCCCGGCTGTGAGCATCCGAAAAATGACATACCAACGAATGATTGGCCGTAATCGGATGTCTGAATTACACCATTTCGAAATCCATTGATAAGGATGTGTGAAGTGTAAGTTTCAGATGTGCCAGTATGAGAATCATCGACATTGAGGAGAAGAATGGAGGTGCATTACGCTGACAACCGAATCGTAATGGAAAATAGAAAGCTAAATTTCACTCGAATCACAAATACAAACATTTTAGCACATCTGTGGTGAGAGCAAGCTGCTAGCCAATTGGTAGACATTGATCTACGCTGATTGGTGGAAATTAATCTGGGCTGATTCAACAACCGATCGCAGCTGACCTAGACGTGGACAAATATGATTCGCAGACAAGTGGCTCGCATTTCCGAGAAATATCGAAAACGAGAAAGCAGAAGGCTGCGTTTGTTTGCAAACAACCAATCAGAAGACCGCCTTCTTTCTGCGGGCAGAGCCTTATTAATGTACGTAAAAAACATATATATATACCTGTTGGTTTTCGTAATAAAACTGATCTGTTGCCTGGCCCTTGTCTTCTGTTGTTACACATCGAGTGACAAGTTGATTCATAAATGAAATGCACAAAACAGGTTGTGTAGTATACGCACTCTTGAGCTCTTCTGGATGTGAGTATTCTACGCATGATGTTCACCGTATCACACACCAACGAATAATTGGATTTCATAGAATGTCTGAATTACACCAACTAGAAATGCATGCCACTGGATTCCAGAGATAAGGAAATGTCAAGTGTACATTTCAGATGTGCCACTTGGAGAATCATTGACGTTCAAGCACAGAGTGGAGGTGCAATACGCTGATGACCGAATCGGATTGCACACCAAGACAAGGAACAACAATCGACATCAAATAACACACAAGTTAAGGGGATACGACCCTATGAAATTTGTGCATAGTATCATCGAAAGAAACAAAATCAATGCAAAAAGAAGATACTGAGTTCATTATGTGCCTGTGGGTGTGAGTGAGTGAGTGACAACGTACGTGGTGACCTGTCGAGATCCCTTCTTCGCTGACAACTCCTCTGCAGTCGGTTTCGACAGATCGAATTCAGTCACACAATAACCAGACTTGATTATCACGACTCCCTTATCCTTCGCTCCAATAGTCAATCCACTATGCTTGATACCCCATGATCCTGAAATCAGAGAAAGAGAGTGAGAGGGAACGACAGTGAGAATAATAAGTGATCTACTCAATTCAGAATGCAACAAATCGTGGTGAGCTAATCAATGTGCACTCTACACTTGCACATACACTCTAAAACGACACAACAACGTGTTACGTCTGCGCTGACTGAGCACAAATGCTTCATTCCATTAATAGACTATTAACTCATAACAGATGCATTCGAGTTGAAATCGGAGTGAGATGTGGTGATCAGTGTGTAGTTCGAATTCTCGACTTAATTTTCGATAATCCTGTGATCGTCTTTCTTCATAAGACCTCTATGACTCATGGTGACTGCATGGGTTTCCAAGAGCCGTACCGCGTGATTTAATCCCATATATCTGCACTTGTACAATTAGGTAATATCTAATCCTCACATGAACACTTTGATCACACATATAGATTGAGCTATCTAAGTCAGAAGTGAACAACAAAAACAAAAGAACAGCAACAGAAAACCAGCTCATCTAACTCACCATCTCCATCAATATGTAGTGGGAGTTTCCAAGATTTCTTCTCAGTCTTCATTTGGACGAGATGTGGTAGGAGGACACAGGCCATGATAAGGCATAACATCGATAAATGTGCCATTTTTGGAAACCTGAAACAGATAAAATAAGGAGACATCCTTCAGTGGGATGCAGTTTAAGCGGTATCACAAATAGGAGTGAATGAGAGTTACAAGGACTGTGATAGATTCTAGTGTAATCGACAAGTGCAGTTACTCACACTTCACATATCTTCGAAAATCGACCACACAGAGTAAGTCGCGGTGACATGTGTGGTGATTGACACGGCAGTGTGAAAGACAGCAGTGTTATGTATGTGATTGTGTTGAGTGTGTGTGACAGGTTGGTGTGGTTGGTGAGGTGGGTGATGAATTGAAGTGTCGGGTATTAGGAGGGTGTGAGAATGAATAGAGACACTGACTTGAGAGAGAGTTGTGAATGTCGTTGTGTGACTCAGTGGTTATGCTGTGAATAATGGTGATTTGTGTTCCGTTCCAATCATGCATATTTATATAGAAATAAATGGGGGTAAAACGTCATGCTAATGGTTTTGTGTATTGATCTGCTGTGTGACATAAATCGAAGCTGTCATTAAGTGAATTGTCATGCTTTGGTAAAAGTGATGATGTCACTTCTTTAATTAGGAGTGGTTGACTTTGATGAGTTCCTTGCCAATCACGGAATCCACCAATATCGGAATGAGATCGGGTTTCGTTACGTCTCCTAGAATCGCTGAATCTGTTTAGACTGAAAATTGGAGACCTAAACGATATGTCCAAGAATACAACACTTATACTATTTGTCTGTCATTACCAACTCTAGGGCCATGAGGATGTTATGATAATTGTTCCCTTGGGTTCTGAGTAGAATGTGGGGCTTCAGTAGCATGTTTCCACTTTGTCCTACCGCCTGCGTTTCTTTTACGTTGGTCACACGACTGTTCATATTCTCTTGTCTCCTCGCACAACCTTCTGTATGTTACCCTCGAAAACCTCACTCCTTTGTCATTTGGTATCCACTGGAGGGCCTGGAGCTTGGTGTGACTCAACGGTTCCTTCAGCGTACGCCTAATCCACCTCCATTTTCTCTAACATATTCCTTGGGCTATTGGTTTTTGGTTGGTTTGTTTCCAGAGTTAACGGCTTCTAATTCTTTCTCGTTGGCCATTTGATCACCACTATGGAGCCAGGGAACTTCACTGGTAATAAGAGTTAGCAGGTAGCTATTGGAAATGCTCTTCGTGACGCTCCGGAGAAGTTTCTGATCAATTTAGAAGAAGTACCTTACTTGAATATTGCGTTGAAAATCGGAATTCTGTTTTTGTGCTAAGTACCGAAGTGTTCTCAATTGATTTCAAAGTATTTAAGATGTACCTTGCTTTTCCAGTTCTGGCTGACTTCTTCATCCATTTCACCCTTTAGTTGAAACGGCTCTTTTCAGATAAGTGAAGGGAGCAGTCCCTTTGAAAGTTTGCCCTTTGAGAGAGATTGATGAAAGATGTCGTTTCCTCTGGTTGTCCATCTTCATCACCATCTTTTCTATGTTCACCTGGAGTTCTGTCTTTTCACTGATGCTTCTTCAGCCAGTTTGTTGTTTTTCGCCTAGAAGTCTTCGAGTTTGTGTGACATAAATTATCCGCGAAATCCAGAATTTCAAAATCTTCTTACTTGCCCAGCGTTCTCATGTCTTCTTGCTCTCCACAGTATGACGCATAATCCAGTCCACTGCAACTAAAATAAAGTCATTGTTCATAGGCAGTGTTGCCTTACTCCAGTTTTCAATTGAAACGTTACGTTGAGCTTTCCTTTTTGGATAATATGGCACGTTTTATTGTCATATTGCTATTGTTAAGTCTGATAAAGAATCGGGATCCGGAATTCCATATTGTTCAAATAGTTTCCAAATTACTTCGCGGTCGACTCTATCGAAAGTCTTTTCAAATTGGATGGAAGTGAGGTAGAGGTTAGGGTGTCATTCTATACTTCTGTTCAGTGATGATGCTGAGAGTTGCTAATTGATCCACACATGACGTATTTTTCCTGAATCCAGATTGTTCCAGTGGTCGAATTTCTCCATCCAGTACATATATAAATCTCTCCAGGATGACGTGGCTTAGTATTTTACTTAGCATTGACAATACAGTGATTCCGCGCCAGTTCTTCCATAGGACTAAAACGAGGTAGACTTTCTTCAAATCAGTAGATACTTTTCTTTACTTAAAAACGTTTTGCAACTGTGGCGTCAGCGTATCCGCTGTGATCTCTAGATCACTTCTCAGTTCTTCTGGAGTAATTCCGTTCGGTACTGCTGGATTCGTGGACTTCAGTAGCTTTATCGCACTCAGGATTTCTGCTTTCGTTGGAGGACTGGTGTCCATTAGCAGGCAGTTCTGTACGTGCTGTTGACGGTGGTATTTCTGGACGAGTTTCAGGTGATGATAGATTCAAAGATACTTGAAATGACCCGCACACTGTTTTGTTTGTCTTTCCACTTTGGTAACTAGGTTTCCTTGATCATCCTTTATAGGTGTGGTCTGTGTTGACCGCTTCCTGGATAGACACCTGGTTATCTGATATATTGTTCAAAGGTCTCTTTCATCTTAGACCTACCTCTTCTCCTTCATATGGCACACAGTGTGTTGTAGAATTGTCTCCTGCTTTCCCTAGCGCTTTTCTTCACTTCCGTCTTTATTCATTGCAGTGTACATTGAACTCAGATTCTCCTTCTCTTGTCCGTTTTCGCATCGAGTCATCTTCTCTTTCACCATCCTCCTCTCCCTGATTAGTTTTCGGGTATTTTCTGATAACCATTCTTCGTCTTTCCTCCTAAAACAGCTGTACTCATTTCCTTTAATTTCACCTTCAGAGAGCTCTCGTGTTTTTCTACACAGGTCTTCTCAGTAATACCACATAGTATCTCTGAATTCACTCTGATCTGATTTGTAGTGAAGCTGTGGTGAGAGATGATTGCTAGCCAAATTGGTTGACAGTAATTGAGGTCAATGTTAGTCATGTGAAAACAAGGTCAAGATGGACAGGCGGATACGGTTAACATATAGATGAACTGACACAGCTACAAGAGATGCAAGGTTAACTTTGTGTGAGAAACAACCAATCAACAGACTGTATTTTATACTAACATTAACCTACAATAATGTACATCAAAATCTATAAATATGTGTTGATTTTCCGTAATAAACGTTCTGTTGCCTGGTCCTTGTCTTCTGTTGTTACAAAGCTATCCCCTGTAGTTTCGTCCTTCAGTTTCTGAATGTTGTACCTGAATTTGTGTCTGTCCTCAGTAATTATGAAGGCCTTCAGCTTCACTTTTAAGGTCCCTTCAACCAGATGATGATCTGATCCCACATCTGCTCACCTTCTCGGTTTTGTATCTAGCAGACAGGCTGCTTCTTCACTTCCTTGAGCAGCAATGAGATGACGTATATCCGCTTTGTAGTGTGTCCATCACGAGAAATCCATGTTGCTGGCCTTCTGTATATTCCTGTGCTTGTAAAATTTCCCTCCTATCACCAAATCATTCAAATCGCAGATGTCCGAGAAGAGTTCTCCATTGTTATATATGTCCCCTTAGCCTCTCTAACCATGATGAATCCTCTTCCTATATTGTCTGCTTCCAGTTTAACATTTATATCGCCCAGAAGAATTTCGATGTCGCCAATCGGAATGTTGTCCATTTCTCTTTGTAATTACCTGTAGAAATCTTTTTGGGTGACTGGAGTAGATTACTGACTCTCCGGTTGATGCTTTGGATCCTCTACATCCACTCCATCTGCTCTCATAGATTCCGAGCACTTCTAGACCGTATCTTCTCATTTCTCTGTCTACCTGGGCAGCCTTCGCTGCTTCATTAATTGTACGAACATTCCACATCCCCATTCTCATTCTTGCTTTCATGCAGAGAAGATACGTCAACTAGCTGGCTGGCTTCCTAAAGGCTTTCATCAACTTTCTTTCATTTCGTTTATGTGATTGTAAGGATGGATGAGTTGTTTTCAGTTTTTCGATATTTTCCTTGAGCTTAGAAGTTTCCGTAGCAGTTTCATTGATTTTCTGAGGAAGGGTCACTAGCCACACGCCTAGTCCTCCACGTTTACTCGCGCTGGAGATCGGCAAGGAAACTATCTAGCTGGTAAACTGGGCGGAATTCATCAAGGAGTTAATCATCTCTAATTTTCATATCATATTATGTAATTCTTATTCCTTCTCGCCCAGTTCATTTCACTCTACTATTTTTATTATTATTATTCAGCAACCTTTGTAATTTACACTTAGCTTATGATATCTTTCCCATTTAGTTACAGTTCACAATTTAACGTCTTTATATGTCACTGGACTTGTTATACGTAGGCTCTTCAGCTTCCATTTATCCTATTTGTTCGTACGTATTTTGTGGTAATCACATATATGCATATATATATATATCTCGAACTGTCGGGAGGTGGAAATCATGGATCATTGGGTTGAGTGCCATTGACTGAATGGTTGCCAGCTCATAGCTTACGATTTGTCCTGTAACCAATCACGTCTATGCGCACCAACACCTAATTAGTAACCATCTTGAATATAACTCACCTTCCAACTCAACTACACTTGTGTTCTGTTGACTACAAATTCATTTGTATATCACCAAGTTGTCTGTTAACATTTCCTCTTGCTCTGCATGACTGACAGTGGTAAGTAATGGGGTATCATTCCATCTAATACACGTATCCAAAGGCAATTTCGGATATAATTTTCACTTGCCTTTATCAGCTGTTTGTGTCATACTTTTTCATAGGTTTGTAACAGTATAGTCTAAAGAACAAGTTATCGGAAACAATTGTCTTCTCAAATGTCATCTTGTACTCAATACAGTTTAGGGAAATTTTACTTTACATAAAGAATGATAGGAAACCAATTCGACGTTCAAATGTGTGTGGGTTAATGCGACAGCGATGAAAATTAAAACACGACAAGCGATCGGTTAGATAAAAAATAGGAACACTGAGGTATCTGCATCCTAAATGGTTTAGAAGTATTCAATAAAATTAATTAAAGGAGATTTGAACACTATTGCTGAGGAAAGTATCAAAACCAGATCTTATTCCATTAGTGTTGGATTCCGTGATTGGCAGAGAACTCACCAAGGTAAATCACTGCCAATTGAAGAAATGACATCATCACGTGTAGAAGAGAGTGACAACCCACCAATTGACAGATTCGATTTATGTCACAGAGCGGATCACTACACACACCCTTCGCCTGGCATTTCACCCTCATTAATATTCATATAAATATACGCGAGTGGAACGCAAAACAAACCACCATTAATCACATCACAAACAGTGAGTTACACAATAGCATTCACAACTCTCTCTCCCTCTCTCAAATCAACGTATCTTCATATTATCACATCCTTCTGCGACCCGACATTTTAGTTCACCATGCAGCTCACCTACAACACCACCCTGT